TCCCCTCCCAGGGTCTTCCGGGCCCCCAGGGTGCAATCGGACCTCCAGGAGAAAAGGTAGGTGGGCTGAGCTGGGCATAGGGGTGCTTGCCTGTGGGGTGCATTAGGAGCACTGGTCACCAGCTTGTGGTGTGGACCTTTGTCCTTCCTTCCTTCCTTCCTCCCTCCCTTCCCTCCTTCCCTCCCTTCCTCCCTCCCTCCCTTCTTTCTTTAGCTATGTATAAGGTTGCCAGATTTGAGAAGATAAACAGATATGGGACGCTCAGTTAAATTTGAACTGTGTTGTCTGAAATTCCACATTTAGCCGGGCGTCTCGTTTTGTTGTTGTTTGTTTTGTTTTGTTTCTTTTTGCTAAATTTGGCAACCCTAAATATATCCTCGGCACCCCGAGTCCACATGCGAGGGAGAGAACCGGAGCCGGAGTCCTTGCACAGCTTGTGACTCAGCCCCAGGTGTCCAGTGAACTCAGCACCTGGGGCGGCACCGGCAGAGTGACCTCAAAGGGGCGGTTCTCAGTGCATCATAGCCCCTGGCCGCCACTGTTGGAGATCTCCTGACCTCACTTGGCGGGTGATTTTTTTCCGGTAGCAAAACTGAAGGCTCTGGAAACAGCAAAGGGGCCACTACCTTTGGGTGCTGCCCGTGGCTGGAAGCTTTGTAGCCAGTGGGAGCGGGTGCCTGTGAGCAACCTTTTTAAACAAATGCTCTTTGAGCAGAAATGTTGAAAAGTAACTTTGGGGGCTTGTAGAGAGGGTGGGCAGCTGAGGGGATCCCTGGGGCATCTGCTCATGGAGTCTGTGGTTTGTTCTAGGGCCCCCTGGGTAAACCAGGCCTCCCAGGGATGCCCGGTGCTGATGGACCCCCGGTGAGTACCACTGCCCACCTCACCCTTTACACCCCACCTGCCCATGTCCACCCAGGGGTGGGCACTGGGAATCTGGGCAAACGGCCCCTCCCCTCGCTCTCGAGACGGCCATGCATGCGTGGCCCCCGTCTCCTTTTCCAGCTCCTTGGATGAAGACCTATCCGATGGCGAGCTTGATTGCTCAGGAAATACTTACTGGGCTTTGGACACACTTTCCATAATGTGGTTCAATCAGAGGGTGGTGATTGCATGAGTAGGAACGTCCGTTATTTATTGGGGTTTGATGCTCGTGATCAGAGCCCAGCCTCATACTTTTAACTCTACGGAGGGCTGGGCTGGGCTCCGAGCAGTCGTGTGTGTCACCAGTGCCGGGTGTATTTTTAGCCATCACGCACGGAGAAGGGGGTGTGAACACGCAGCTGTGGAGCTAAGTAGACGCTGCCTAGAAATAGGGAGTGAGGGACAAATCCATCTGTGGCCAAGTTGTGAGGGGGAGGGGCGGGGAAGTGACAAACGCTGGGTGTGGGCCCGTCTGCGTGAGCTTATCTGCACCCACCCCCCTTGTGTGAGTTGCCGGTGGGCTTTTTGTTTTCGGTTATTTTTAGCATATCCAGTTGATGCCGAATAGAGAGCCTATTTCAGAAAATGAGATTAGCGAAATTATTTATTTCGGACACAGTTATTTTGTTGTGTTAGTAACGCCATTAAAAACGAAGCAAGGAAGTTCAGTCTGTCAACCGTTAATTGGTGATTGGTGATTGGCATAGGATGACGGTGTCTTTCCATTTTCATGGCTGGGGATCCTTTGGGCCCGTGAATCACACATCACCCATTGTCCCATCTTTGTCTGAACCAGCTGATTACAATCCCATTCCTGCGCGAACTGCTTTGGGGGACTCAGTCTCCTGGACTGAGTTTGCATGTGAAGAGATGAATATTTTGCAATATGTCATAAGTGCTTTCACTTACATTGACACCTAATTCTGCTCGAACTGCTTTGGGGGACTCAGTCTCCTGGACTGAGTTTGCATGTGAAGAGATGAATATTTTGCAATATGTCATAAGTGCTTTCACTTACATTGACACCTAATTGCATTTTCTAATGATAAAATATTTTCTTCTGGAAAATAAATAATTAGGAAAATAAATAAAATGACAAAATGGAAACTACCTCTGGTCCCATTCCTGTGGGTTAAACCCTGATAGCAGGTGAATGTACATCCTTCCAGTCATTTTTTCTATTCATCTTCTGATTGCAGAATCAGAAGATTGGGTGTCAATGGGGCATTTCCCTCAGTGCATCATGTCAGGAAGGGGGCGGTGCCTACACGGCCCCCGCCCCCCTGACCTTCCTGGTCACACCCTGGAATCCCTCTCTCTGAATTGAAACTCCAGCCACTAGGGTCCCTAAAGGGTCACCAGTTTCCTTTCAGATTCTGTGGGGAAAGAGGGACCTTTAAGAGAGTTAGGGAGCCAGGAGGCTGCCTCTCCATTTCTCTTCCCCAAGCAACCATCACACTTTAAAATATGAGTGTGTGAAGGACCCGAGGGAGTGTGGTTGTGGGTCAACACTGAAGATGCTCAAAGCAAAAGATAAAAAGGGAAAACCTCAACGCTACAGGCTGAGGGGAGCGGAGCCCTTGTCTTAGGTGAATCGGGAGGCAGCAAAAGATCTAAAAATACTCTCCTTAACAGAGGCATCACATGGTTGATCAGCCTGAAAGAGAGGGTTTGTTCCTTTTCCCCTTTGTGTTGCTTTGGTGTGGCTTGGGCTGAAGAAAGAAAGGAAGATAGATTTCAGAGCCTTTGAGAAGTGTGAGGGGTTTCGGGGCAGACTCGATGCTCTGGAATACATTGTGGTGATGTTCTGGGCAGCACACAAGGAGGACGCGGGCGATGAATCACGGCTCGTGGGAATATTACAGAGCCAGGAAAAATAGAATTCCAATGAATATTCAGTGACATGAGGAAATGCTCGTGATATAATAGTAAATTAAAAATACATCTTCTGATGCCGATTTTGCATGCAAATGTGCAGAGAAAATAGATTAGCTGTGCTATGTCACACCCTTGGCCACCGTTGCTATGCGTGGTGAGGTTATGAAGGGTTTTAATTTTCTTTTCCACTTGCCTAATTGTCTACGATGAACGTATATTACTTTATTAATCAGAAATATATCAAATACAAATAATTTAAGCTTTATTATTTTTCCATTTGTCAACAATGAACATATATTGCTTTTTTAATCAGAAAAATATTAAATACACATAATTTAAATTTTATTACTTTTCCATTATAGAGTCTTGCTGGTTGTAGAATACTGGGGAAAGGCCGGCAAGTAGAAAGAAGGGTGGAAACGGCCTGACCTTTCATGGCGGGAAAGCAGCTGCTCTGACTTTGATGTATTTCCTTTCCATCTTTTTCTGTTCAAACATTTAAAATAAATGAGGTTTGTGCTTCCCCCCCCCACCCCCAGAAAGTTACTCTCATCCCCAGAAAGTTACAGCTTAGAATGCATTTAAGAAGCTTGGCCTTGATTCAAACAACAGTAATCATGGCAGGGACTCCCCTGGCGGTCCAGTGGTTAAGACTCCACGCTTCCACTGCAGGGGGCACAGGTTCAATCCCTGGTCAGGAAACTAAGATCCCGCAGGCTGCCTGGTCCGGCCAAAAACAAACCAAAAAAAACAGTAATCATGGTGACGATCAGTCCCTCTCTTTTATCTCTTCCAAAACACTGTGATCAGGTCTATTCTTATCGCCACCATGTAAGTGAGGTCATTGCCACGTGAAGGGGTCAGCTCGTCTCCCCACGTGAGTGAGGTGTGGGCTCTGCCCCCGTGTGTGTCTCTGGGACCTGGCTTTCACCACAGCTGCCCATCACCTCAGTTACTTCACAGAAAAATTCTGGGTTTGATGGAAACTGTAAAAAAGGCCCATGAAGAGCCCACATGGCAAAGGGAGCAGGACCCTCCTCCCTCCCCAGGGCAGGACCTCCTCCTGGGCACCGTCTGGGTGCAGCCCTGCCGGCCTGGGTTGCTGGTGAGCCTCGTCTTGGGAAGGGGGATGGCGGGCAGTGTGTCCCTTCCAGGCCCGGGCAGCTGGCGTGGTCCGACCGGTGCCTAACTGTCCTCAAGGGCTCCCTGGGGTACCCCACCCTGCAAAGGAACTTCTGCATCCTTCCCGTCGCGTTGCCACCGTGACAGGCTATTTGCTGTGGCATCAGATCCGGTTCACGACTAATACAAATTGAAAAGAACACACACATATCATTTACCTGAGTTGTTGAGCTCTGGGTCTCCACAGTGCTGCTGTGTTCTACAAGTAGCGTCCTAGAACTTTAGAACAATCAAGCTGGATGAGCAGCCAACCCACCCTCTCATTTTATACACACGAAAGTGGAGGCCCAGAGAGGGCAAGTGACTTACCTAAGGTCACACAGCGGGTTGGGTGTTACCAGGAGTAGAACCAGACCGCCCTACCCTGCCCTGCCAGCATTCTCACCACACCACATGGCCTCTCTTTACTGGAATCCTTGGGGGTAGAACTGTATTTCCGGATAATGAATACTTCTGTTTCTGTTTTTCTCATCTGTGTTTGGCTCGTGAACTCAGAGGCATTGAACCTAGTCACCAGCTTGGGTCAGAAAGTCAGAGAAGGTCAAGTTCCTGAGAATAGAATTGATGGGGGCCAGGGTGGAGGGGGCAGTGACCAAGGAGCCGTGAGCAGTTCCGCGGGGCCTCAGCTCTGCATCTGTGGGGTAGGATGTATGTTCTCCCCTGAGCTCAGCTTCTGTGTCACCTGGGGGGTGGCTTTGAAGACCTAGGGTGCGTTGGGACCCGGGAGGTCTGGTCCCACTTCACTGTCCTTGTTTGGCCACTGATTCGGTTTTGCTGGGTGGCCTTGAACAAACACCCTTGTGTCACTGTCCCCTCCCACTGCACTTGGGGGCAGGCTGGGCTCTGGCTGAGTCAGGGGACACTGGTGCACAGTGGGGCATGGAGCCCATCTGTGGGTTTTGAAGCACATTCCCCTCTGCTGTTGCCGGGGCCTGGCATTATTCCCATTTTACAGATGAAGCAGCCGAGGTTGGGGCTAAAGGACTGGGGGTGACCAAGCCGCTGTGGGGAGGGGCGGGGAGGAAATGGGAGGGACCTGGGCTCTGACCCTCCGTTTCGAAGATAGCTACAGGGAAGCTGGAGCGTGGCCAGGCCTGCTTTCCCAGAGGCCACTGACTAACGCCAGCCTTCTCTTTCCTGACAGGGGCACCCTGGCAAAGAAGGCCCTCCGGGGGAGAAGGGAGGCCAGGTGGGTACCGGCTGTGCCCTCGGCCCCTCCAGCATCTCCTGCGGGATGGGCAGGGCTGCCCCCCGCCAAGTCCAGAAGGGGCTTCCAGCCCTGTCCTTACCCATCCTGACACAACCCTGTGGACGCACCTTCCCCGTGGGGCTGGGCAGTGCCCGCATGCCTACCCTCGCGGGTCCGACCTGGCACGTCCATCCGTTCTGCTCGGAGCGAGAGGGCAGTGTGCAAGGGGCAGGCAAGCTCTCTGGCTTGTTCTGGAAGGATGCAAGGGGTGGCCCAGAGTGAGCCCTGCGCCCTCCACCTGAGATAGGCCTAACGCACTTTCCTCTCTGGTTCCAGGGTCCGCCCGGCCCCCAGGGCCCCATCGGCTACCCAGGCCCTCGTGGAGTCAAGGTGAGGGTCTCACAGCCTCGGGTCTTCCTGGAGGTCAAGGTCGGGACTGCAGGGCAGGGCTGGGCCGGTTTTAGAGATTCCTCTGTGCTTTAACCTCCCTCCTGCCCCAAAACTGGGATGGCCCTGGTCTGGGAGGTTGGGTCCCAGAATGTGGGCGGGAGAAGGTGAGGGAGGGGCCCGCGGGGCCAGGAGGGGCTGCAATGGAGCAGGGCACGCTCCCCGGGGGGCGGCTGGGACAGCACGAGCAACGCGGTGGTGGCCGTCTGCCGGGACGGGGAGGCACCCTTCTGCCCCATGCTCCTTTTACTATCACCACCTGCCAGGTGACCTGCTGCTCTGGAGCCCCACAGAGGCAGTGGATCTCAGCCCAGGTGACGAGCTGGGCGCCCTTTCCTGGGATGCTTGGAGCTGTTTCTTCCAGGCTGATCACACCTGGGCAGACCTTGTTGTTGGGAGATGCGTTCGTGGGAGACGTCCATGTATATGTTGAAAGGCTCCTGGAACCGTTGTCAAATGGGCGCAGAGGTCCAGAGCAATACTCCAAACACAGGGCCCTGTCTGTTTGCCCTGAGCTAACTGGGTTTGCTTTGAGCTGTGCAATTTCGTCTCAGTGATGCTGCTTCTGGACATTCACATGCAGAGGGATGTGCCCCCAGGGGTGTGTGTGGGGAGAGCCCTTCTTTCTCGGGGTGGAGATGCTGCCGTGTCTTCAATCTCAGGCTTCCCACCCACAGGAAAGCTAAGGGTGGGTCTTTCTTTCAAAATGACTGTAATTTGATGCAAAGTATCATATATACGAAGGTGTATAAGACATCTAGTTTATCTTGGGGGATTCGCCGGAACACACCCATAAGCTCCAGAGTCCCCCCCTGTGTCGTTCACGGTCCTTTATACTTTCAAGCATTTTTCCACATCAGGGTTCTATGTGGAGGACACAGAACCCAAGACTTCAGTTTTTAGTAACTTACCCCCAAGTACCCGTAAATCCATGCAGAAGCCAGGACTCAAGCCTGGACTTGCTTATTGCTAACCAGGTACCCCATCCTGACCCCAAGGGGCTCTGACTTCCATTTCCCAGAATTGGGATGTTCCAAGGTCAAGGGCAGAGAGATGCCCCAGGTCAGGACCCTTAGACAGGCGGCTTCTCTCTGAAGCAGGCTTTCGCCCCACACGCCGCCTAGTGAGTTTCTAAGGGCGGTGATTTAGCAGCTGTGCTGAGGGTGTGAGCTCTGTGTGCGTTTATTTTACAAATTCCCATTGCACGAGGAGCCTATGCCAGCCACCGTGCACGGCCAAGGCCAACACGTGATGCTGCTTCTGTGAGCCGGGAAGGTGTCTACCCTGAGATGTTTGTGGAGAATGCTCTTATCTTGTCGGTCTGATTAAATTCATCCGTGATATGAGCAATCCCAGTAGACGGGCAAACGGAGGGTGGAAGGAGAAGCAAGACTGAACGCTCTTCTCATTGGAGAAATAGATTGCAGAGCCCGTGGCGTGATGAGACCCGGAGGGCGCTCATGGCGGAGGTGGGGTGGGAGGTCCGGGTGTCACCGTCAGAGACCAAGGTCTTTAGCTTTCCTCCGCTGCAGCCCTGCCCTCCTCCTGGGAAAGGGGCCCCTCCAAGCTCTTTGATCTCACTGACCTTTAAGCATCCCCCCGGGCTGCCCTCTGACTTGCCCCTTCCTCAGGGCACTGTTTGGGCTTGACTGTCGGCAAATCAAATCAGCCGCTCCCTGAGCCTACGGGAGCTGGGTGGGCTGGCGGAAGTCCCCCAGCACGCACTCGCTGGAGGCCTTGGGAAAGCCCTGTCCCCCTCTGTGCCCTCACAGCGGTGTCCCAGCAACTCCTTCCACTGGGCTGTTCTGTGACCTCTGACCTCGCTCCCTGAGCACCGGACCACCAGGGCCATGATGGGTGCTCTAGCCCCAGGGCAGAGTCTACCCCCAGGGACTCCTGGAGACATTTCTGACCGTCTGGGCTTGGAGGGGCAGGGCAGAGGTCAGGGAGGCCGTCCAACCCCCTACACTGCCCGGGGCAGCCTCGCGACAACAAACTACCCAGACCCTGAAGGCGACGGGCGTGAGGCTGGGAAACCCTGGTCTGTTCGTCTCCTTGGCCCCATTCCCCTGGCCTCAGGCGGGTCCCGAGATGGTAGAACTTCAGGTCTGGGAGGGATCCGAGCAACGCCGCCGTCTTATCCTCTTCTTTCTGGACGTGTGTGGGCAGGGGAAGCCCAGCTGGCCTGCCTGGCAACGGGGAGGGGACCTGGTGCCAGAGCCCGCCCTCCCCCCGACATCAGGGTTTCGGGGTAACCGGCCTCCTCTCTGTCCTGAAGCCGACCATGGCCTGGGCCGATGTAGCTCTCTGCGTCTGTCCAGCCCCGTCCCTCTGTCCCTCCACAGCTTTTCTCAGCTCTCCTGGGTCTCAGAGAAAAGGCTCAGAACTGCAAATTCTGTGCAAGGTTCTTGCTACAAGAGGGCAGCTGGCAGCCCGAGGGACCCGGCTGCAGCCTCAGCTGGACCTGAATGGGAGGCCCGGCCTCTCTGGGGCCCCGCGGGCTGTTGGCTTGAGGAAGCTTTTGGCAGTCAGTCGGGGGCAGGCTCTGCACCCTGCTGGCAGGTGTGGGGGGCACGGCTGTCAAGTCCATTCCGGGGATGGAGTGGTTTTACCTGGGAGACAGGGAGGCGGCTGGTCCTTCCCTGACAGTCTTATTCGGCCCGGGGATGAGAACGTCCTGAGCCGATGTGATGAGGGCAGTGGGAGTGGCTGGTGTCGTTAAGTGGTAATTATTATTACTACCATCGTAACGTATGATTACACGTTAATGATAACACAGAGTGAAAATCACCCGATGGCACACAGCTCCGCTCACCGAGCACCTGCCGTTTGCCGGGCCCTGTCCCAGGGCTTCCTGCGCCCTCCCCTCCCCCCAGCAGCGATGGGGGGAGGGTTGTCATCACCCCCTCTTTCCAAGTGAGCAGAAGTCTGGGGCCTCGTCAGAGGCCACACGTGGGGGGCCTGACCCCGTCTGCCTGATTCCAGAGCCCGAGCTCAGGCCTCACGACCCCTCTGCTCCCCAAGCAGAGACCAAGAGAGAGACCGAGATGTTTCTAGAAGACGCCCCGCACACCCGCAGAGCTCTCTGTCCTGAGACTGCGGGCAGTGGGAGGGGACTGGTCTGTGCGGGACGCTCAGGCTCCCCTGGTGTTGGGGGTCAGGCCCGTTTTTTGTGGGGTCCGTAGGGCCTCGGGCTTGTGGCTGCTCACTTTTCTTCTCTGTTTGCGCAGGGGGCAGATGGCATCCGAGGTCTGAAGGGCACCAAGGGCGAGAAGGTGAGTGTACCCTCCTTCCCTCAGGGCCTTGGCCAAGAGCCAGGAAGGTCCATCCTGGGAACTTGAGTGACCGTAGGCCACTGGCATTTTGAATCCCCCAGTTCACAAATAGCATGAATGTGTACAGCTCCCCCGTGGAATGCGGGACTAGGTGACTGAGAGACGCCGGCCACCGGCTCGTCCTTGGCCCAGCCTGCAGGCAGGACAGCGCACGTCCCCAGACCCTTCCAGGCGATGCCTGTCCCTTCCAGAGAGCTCCTCCTGCCCCCTCGACATAAGGCCATCAGCAGTAGTCCCAATCCCTTTGGGGGCTCTTCCAGCTGGCTCCCCGTACTCAAACATCTGCCCGTCCACCGCTGCTGGGCCTACAGTGATGCTTAGACGAGACAAAGACGCTCCGAGAAACGGATGCTGACAGATTGGGCGCTGGGCTGCCCACTGCCCGGCCGTGCAGAGCTTTTGAGCTCAAACAGGGTGACCAGGGCTACAGCACTCCCAGTGCAGGCTGCAAAGCCAGCGAGAACCACAGAATGCAAAGGGTTGACAGGAACACATCTCGCAAGGGACAGGGGGCCGGGCACTGACAATCCTCTGCCCAGCATGTCTGGTGCTGGTGTTGAGGCCCAGAGGGTCTGGGTGGGGGTACCTGGGCGGTGGGTTTTCTCATACAGACCGAGGCTCTCTCCGGTCCCCCGTGCAGGGTGAAGACGGCTTTCCGGGCTTCAAAGGAGACATGGGCATCAAGGGAGATCGGGTGAGTGTTCGGGGGCAGGGAAGGGTGAGCTGGGCGGGAGGCCCCGCTGGGGCCACAGGGCAGCTTCTCAGGACAGAGGTGATGTCTCCGTGGAGGCTCCTGGGCCGCCGGCAGCTTCCAGCTCCTCCCCAGCTTCCAGTTCGGAGCCATGGCAGCTGGCACCTGGTCCTAAACCCCTGCTTACAGGGTCACCTGGCCCCCTCTGCCCTGTGTCCTTGCCCTGCATTAGTGGGTCAGTGGGAACTTGTTTTTTTTCTGGCTGATACCCTGGTTTGCAGAGCAATTCGTTTGGGTCAAGAAGGGTGACAGGTGTCTGGGAGAGAAGAGGGGGTCGCAGAAACGACCCAGCTCACCAGAGAGGGTAGCAGCCTGACCGAGGCCACCGGCCGGTCGCTGGCAGGGCCACACCCTGACCAGCGCTCTGAGTCTCTTGGCCCCCAGACACCTCTTCAGCTGCTCTTCGGACCCCCAGACGACCCCTGTGTTCTGGGACCTCCTGCTGGGCTGTCAGAGGTTGCAACAACCTAGTTGGTTCTTAATGGATGATTGACCTCAGCTCCAGGGAAGCTGATGGGTGCTGGGGCGGGATGGCGCGTGCCATGTGGCTGGCGCCCCACAGAAAGCCACTGGCGGTGTTTTTGTGCAGATAAGGAGAAGGTGATGCAGGTGGCGCTTCAGGAAGTGGGGTTGGGGGCCAGCTGCCTGCTGCCGTGGGGACACTTAGAAGCTCCCCGGACAAGTTTGGAATGAGCAGAGGCCAGGCAGAAGGGAGGGGATGCCCACACCCCTGGTGGGCCCGCTGTGGCGGCAGCGGCACACGTGCCTGGACGGACGCTGTCGTGGAAACAGGGCTGTCACACAGGCCGCCCTCCTTGTGCCCCACAAAACAGATGCCTTACCAGAACCTGCCAGGACCAGAGAGCCTGCACACTTGGCGCTTTGTCCCACGCTGAAAAGGCAGACGTGATCCGGGGCTCTGTCAGAAGGGAGGGGAATAAAAGAGAGGGGTTCATTTCACAGTCCTGTCCCAGTTATATTGCTGCTGAAGACAGCTTTTCTAGAACTTTCTCTGCGGTGACGACTCCCCACTTCTGAGGGCCTCTCTCTGTCTGGCTGGTGAAAGTCTCTTTTATCTTCCTTTCCAACGACTTGACGCACACATTTGGGTCCATACTAGGAGAGTGCCTTTTCAAAAGACGTTCTGCAGTTGCACGCCATACCCTGAGTGGACCTCTGGCTGGAATTGGATGAGGATGGACGCGGGTGGAGTGGGGGGGGAGGGGACACTTCCTCAGCTGGGCAGTGAGGCTCCTCAGTCTTGATTTCTCCCAGAGAGGAATTTCTGCTCAGTGCTTGGCATTTCCTGATTTTCTGAGTGCTCAGAAAACATGGGAAGGATTCTTTTGTTGAACGAGAAAAGCACCTCTTAGGGACAGAGAGTCCTCGACCTGTAGACACACTGGGGCTGGGGAATAAGGGAGTCATGAGCTTTCTTTATCCGTACAGAGCACATTTCTGTTGGGGGTTTGCACAGCTGTCCTGCAGCTGCTCCCGGAAACCAGTGATCGGAGGGGGACCCATCAATAGACAGAGAAGACCGGGGTGGGCACTCCGAGGCCGGGCCAGGCCCCTGCTGCTGCACTTGGCCACGCCCCAAGTCCCTCTTCCTTGTGTGGGCTCGGGCCCCCCCACCTGTTACCTGGGGAAGTTGGATGAGGTGATATTTCGGTTTTCCCGTCTCTGGATACACCCTGTGGGTCTCCCTTGTGCCATGACGCCCAGGCGTGGCCCAGCCAGGCCTTGTGGTCCATTTTGATACCTCCTGGGGCTTCAGGAGAAGAAAGCGGCTCCCCCAGTGCACGGCACTTCTGCTCTCTTTCTTCGGGGAAATAGCAATTCGGGGCTACCGTAGTCACTGAAGTTATTTTAGCCGAGAGGTGCTTGACTTGGAGAAGGCCATTGGGAATAGGGGAGCGAGGGCTTAAGTGTGGGTCCCGAGGGGCACTGGTCGCTCAGCAGAGCCCTGGTCTCCTCGGTGCGAGGACGAGGGTCCATCTGCTTGAGGGGGCCCAGCGGCTCTTACCGCCCTGGCCTGGGATCCGGCCCCTCACTCCCAGACGGTGGGGGGGGGGGCCTTTGGGGGGCTAGAGACTCTGCGGGTCTCCTTCCCCTTATCTTTCTGAACTGCAGGGGGAGATCGGCCCACCTGGTCCCAGAGGGGAGGACGGTCCCGAAGGCCCCAAGGGTCGTGGAGGTCCGAATGGCGACCCGGGTCCTCTGGGACCCCCTGGGGAGAAGGTACGTGACACAGGAGGTTGACCGTTTCCCAGCGACAGTCTCTTCCCGATGGCCTGGGGTGTCCAGGCGGTGGCTTGGTCAGGCTGAGCCCCGGCTGGGAGCTGGCGCGAGTCCTGACGTGGTTCCTGTCCCCTTGACTCCACCCAGCACCCTTGTCCCCAGATCCACTCCTGGAAGAGTTCCTTCCTCCCGCTGGTCGCAAAGCTTGGGGTCTGAGCTTGGCACCCACGTGCACCATCTTCTGTGGCGGGGTTAGGGCTCCCGACAGCTGCTCCTACACCTGCAGGAGGCCGCCCACCCTCGTCCTGCTCCCCTACCCACTACCTTCACCCCCGAACAGGAACCGGCTCTGCGTGGCCCAAACATCCCGCCCTGTCCTGCCCCAGGGCTGGGACTCTTTTCCAAAAGGATTGACCAAAATGTCACAGACAAAGAACTCTCTTCCTTTATTTGGAGCGTTTGCCTCCACCCACTGTTGCTTCTGCAGTGGCGTCCATCCCTGCTCGAGGGCCCTTTGCTTTAAACCAGGCAGGGCGCTTTCCGTGATGACGGTGTCCTCGGCCTTTGGAGACTCCAGCCTGCTCCAGTCCCCTGCCAAGACACGCTGGCTTCCTCTCTGCTCAGAGAAGTGCAGAGCTGGCCGTGGAATTCACCTCCGTTATTTCCGCAGGGAAAACTCGGAGTCCCAGGATTGCCCGGCTACCCAGGAAGACAAGGGCCAAAGGTAACAAACGTACTAACTCCCTTGTTAGATCTGACAATTGGCGTCTCCCTGCCCCGCACGCTATCACCCATTCGCCCTCCCTGGCGCAGCTGCTGCGACAAAACAGAAGGTCACAGTGGCTGTGTCTCGGTTCTGCCCCGTTCACCACCATCTGTGGTAATTCGCCTAAGTCAGAAGGAAGGGGCCTGGACAGTTAGGTGAGCCGTTTCAGAGAAGGGGACCACCCAGCTGAGCGTGGGCTGCACCTCGGGATCCTCAGTGCCCCTGGCCTCGTGGGGACCGCTGTGCACTGGTTTCTCCACACCCAGAACTCGCGTTCCTCTCTCAGATTTAACTCACCCTGGAGATCCAAAAGTTATTTGCTCCTAACTGAGTATAAAAGAAAGATGAAACCTTTCTTATAGGAAATCATGCTTTATTTTACGTGTAGCAGCTCCTTGGGGCTTTGCAAATCATTTAAAACATTTTAGTTTTTAATCTCACCTTTTATTATTCATGGCTCTTCCTTAAAAATTATGTCTCTAGTGCCTTCACTAGAGACATAATTAACAGCAAAGGAGAACTCGTGGGTCTCTGGGGTTTGCGTCCGTGCATCCTGCCCTCCTTGGGCTTCAGGCCTCTGGACACCCCGCTTGCTAGCAGAGGAAAGGCCCCGTGGGCTGGGCTGCAGCTCTAGGTATTTCCTTGTTGCTGATGGCAATGCTCACATCAGTCCTTCCTGTGGAACGCGAAGGCCCCCACTCAGCAGCTGACAGCCACCATGCAGGGGAGATCATTTGCTGTGAAACAGGAGTTTTGTTTAGTATCTGCCAGCGATGTAGTCGCTGACTGCAGTGCTGTCCACTGTATTTGGAGGAAGAGAGGCTGATGGACCCATTTGCTCTCCTGAAATGCGTGTCCTTTTGGGGGAGGAAAGGAGAGAGAGGAGGAGTTTGGGAGAGACGGGAGTAGGGGGAGAATATAGATCAAGTTCAGGCAGCTTTTTGGAAAGATGAGGGCAGAACCTTGAAGCTGCTCAGGCAGTTTGGACAGTCCTTGGGCGGTGACCCAGCTCCTGAGCCGAGCACTGTGAAGCCTGCATCCCAGGTTTTCCTGCCCTGAAGCTCGGTACAGTCTCCTATTTGGAGCAGGCAGGCGGGCACACGGGTGGCTTGGCACAGCTCAGCACCCTGGGAGAAGCTCAAGGTTTGAACATCGGTCAACTTTTCCTGGTCTAAGCACACGCTCAGGTCAGGATTTTAAGTCACGCAGAGAGAGTAGAGACGTGCTGAAGAAATGCTTTAGACAGTGTCACTGGGAGCTCACGTGGTAAGTGTTTGGATATTCGTCCACTCAAAGCCCTTAAGTGCATCCCTGCCTGTGTGCACCTTGTAAAGTTCTAGAATTAAAGAGCTGTGCGAGGCCACAGTCGGTGCATAAATTTGCATTCATTTCTGACTTTATAAGCTGCCATGCTTTATTTAGAGGTGTTCTGGGAAGATAGCAAAACATGGCAACAAGGTGCAGAAAACAAATGTCATAAATGTGACATTCACACATCATCTCCAGTTAATCTAAGTGGCACATGTTCCCTTTTCTCCCAAAACACCAGTGTTTTGCAGAGATGGGTGTGTGAGGGGAGAGTGTGGAGAGAGGGGAAGGGGACCTGGTTGAGATTCAGTTCTGGTTTTTAAATTTGGAGTCATTGAGATGCTCAGGAAATACTGAGTAGGCGGGTGGGTGGATGAGTGGTTTGGTGGATGGACAGACGGATGGTGGATGGATGGTGGGTGGATGGTGGGTGGTGGGTGGGTAGATGGGTGGATGGTGGTTGGATGGTGGTTGGATGGATGGATGGGTGGATGGATAGATGGATGGTGGATGGATGGTGGATAGATGGTGGGTGGTGGGTGGGTAGACTGGTGGATGGATGGATGGATGGTGGTTGTACGTATGGATGGATGGGTGGGTGGATGGGTGGATGGGTGCATGGATGCGTAGATGGATGGGTGGGTGGACGGATGGTGGGTGATTTGCTGGATGGATGGATGGGTGGGTGGGTGGGTATATAGTTGGATGGTGGGTGGGTATATAGTTGGATTGTGGGTGGGTAGACAGGTGGATGGATGGTGAGTAGATAGGTGGGTAGTGGGTGGGTAGATAGATGGATGGATGCTGGATAGATGCTGGGTGGTGGGTGGGTAGATGGGTGGATGGTGGTTGGATGGATGGATGGTGGTTGGAGGGATGGATGGATGGATGGATGGTGGTTGGATGGATAGATGGATGGTGGGTGGGAGGTGGGTAGATTGGTGGATGGATGGTTGGGGGGGGGGGTGGGTATATAGTTGGATAGTGGGTGGATAGACAGGGGGGTGGATGGTGGGGGGTTGGATAGTGGGTGGATAGACAGGTGGATGGATGGTGGGTGGATGGGTGGGTGGCGGGTGGGTAGACAGGTGGATGGATGGTGGGTGGGTAGATTGGTGGATGGGTGGCGGGTGGCGGGGGCCGGTGGGTTCGGTCCGAGACTGAACTCTTAACGGACTCTTCCTGCTGTGGCTCGGGCAGCAGAGCCCGTCCTCCTGATCAGGCTCTCAAGCTTCTTTCCTAATTAACTCTCTTCCAGGGTTCTATCGGATTTCCTGGATTTCCTGGCGCCAACGGAGAGAAGGGTGGCCGGGTAAGGACGGTCTGGCCTCTGCTCAGGCGGCCTGTTCTGCTGCCTTGGTATTTCGCGGGTATATTCTCCAATACATCCTGTTTATTTCTCACCCACTTTGCTGCCAAAACTGCTTTCTGGAACAGCTGACCTTAAGCCTGTCCGCTGAGCGCTGGTGACTCTTAGCCCCCCGGGCGGGCAGTGCCGCAGTAGGAGGGGCATCGGGCCTGAGGGGCAGGCATGCTGAGAAAACAGCGCTTTCTCACACACAGCCGCCATCCTGCCAGCTCTTTGGGGTCACTGGCGAGACCCAGATTCTCCTCTTTCAGCCCAAGTGACTTTCCCTCCAGGCTAAGTTTAAAAGGAAGGAAAGGAGCTCTGCTTTGTATCTCACGGACCCCGCCAGGTGCCGCGCGCTCTGCTTCCCTCTGTTGTCCCCCTGAGGGAAGGTGATCGGAGGGCTCAGGCTGGGGGAGCCGCTCTCCCGGACCCCTGCCGGCCCAGGCCCTCCTGCAGGAGCTGCCCTGAACGCTGCTTAGGGAAATCATAGGAGGCTGCCTGAGCGCTGCCACTCGGCCGAACAGGGCAGGAAGGGTCCGCCTGGGCCTTTGGACTCGGAGCGGCCTTGTCCACAGGCGAGTGGGGTGTGTGCAGAGCAGGCCTGGGGAAGACGCTGGGCCCAGCCCGGTCCCCTCCGCCCCAGGCTGGTCCTCCCCACTCAGACGGACGGGCTGCCTCTCCTCAGCGTGCTCGCTACAAACTAATGTTACTGCGTTTGAGCGGAGACAGTGAGATCTCTTGAAAGCAGGGAGGAAGACTTCAACCATCCAAAATCCACGTGCACGAACGTGTCTGCCAGGCTCACAGAAGAGAAAAACGGGGACTTTTCTGAGTGCAAGTCAGCTGCATAACCACAGGGAGACCTTTATCTATTTGTCTGTATCGGTGTCTAGATGTGTCTGTACCTATGTCTGTATCTGCAATGCTTAGATGTATGTCATGTGTACATCACGTCTGTGTCTGTGTCTGTAACTGTCTGTGTGTCCATCGTCTACCTGCCTACTTGTCTTCTAGTTCTTCCTGGTAGGGACAGTCTGACTAGTGTCTTCAGGGAAAGACTGTCATTTGAGAAAAGCGGTCCAGGGTCTGGTAAAAGGGTGGGAACCGCGGGGGGACAGGGTGGGGGCAGCCCCTGAGCTTGTACAGAGCACAGGGCTTTCCGCACCACGTTGCCGTGAGAGTCCCCAAGATGGGTCATGACGGTTAACAGGGGGTCACGTGATGTGACACAGGCCCTTCCATGGAGGAGCTGCACTGCAGGTCCAGGCCCCGTGGGGTCACGTCGAGCAGCAGAGGCCTGGCCGTGGCTCTGGGGGCCGTGGCGCTCTGGTCCAAGCTCTGCCGCCCTCTTCTGCCCCTCATGCTTCTCAACCTCCCCAGTCCCGAGCTGAGACGGTTGGGCAGATGCCTGGATGCCCTCCAGCCCTCACGGGCCATTGTTCCAGTGAGTCAGCACGTGATCACCAGGATCACCACTGAAAACGGGTTGTTGGAAAGCAGGGGGGCCTGGGACCGGGGCACTTCCTCCTGTTCTGAGGTTCGGACGTGGTTCCTGGGGTCTGAAACCTGGACACCCCGAGGAAACGATCTACTTCCGGATTGACAGGGATTGTCGGGTTGCATGTGGCTGTATCGTGGCCACATGGGTGGGTGTGGCCGCCAGCATTTAGAGAGAGCTGGGATGGCAAAGATGCCAGCTTTTCCAGAAGGGAGAGGTTGGGCCGTGGTCAGGCATGACTGGAGCACACGTCTGTTCATTGTGGGAGAGATGTGCCCGGGCACATTTTCCCGAGGAAAATGGCCATGTCTGTCCCCAGGAAGCGTCTGAGATTACCCGGCTCGCAGCGAGCAAGTTAGTGCTGCCGTTTTAGTGCACGTCCTGTCAGGCGGACGAGCCCCCGGGTCTGAGACCCCGAGCGTTCATTGTTTAGCCGTGGGCTCCCCATGTCCCTGCACCCAGGAGAGGACCCTGGAGTCACGAGACTCAGCACTTACGGCATGTCTGCCCATCCTCCCCTCCGGAGAGACAGACGCCTTTATTCTGGAACCTTCCCCACGGAAGGAAGGAGGAATCCACCTTGGCTCTCCTGCCCTGGACTCCAGATCTCCCCAGGTCTCCACTCCGAGGCTGTCTGCCCGCAAGCACCCTCGCCATCCTTGGCTCAGAGGATGGGGTGTGTGGGGACGCTGAGGAATCGAGGGGGAGGTGTCTCCCCGGGCAGTGGCTTTCCCGCAGTCCTTTCCCCATGGTTTTGAACTTCCAGTGTCGGTGCCCGTCCTGCTCTCTCGTCCTCATCAAGCTGAGTTACAGGCTTGTTCTTATGTCACTGTGTCTGTTCTTGCAGACTGTTGAGTGTCTGCCCTGCCCATATGTCCCGGGTGCTCTGTGAGCCCAGGCGGGGGGACACTGCAGGAAAAGCCCAAATCCCTGCACTGGGGGTGCTCACCTTCCAGAGCTGGGACCATGGACAGATCAGTAAGTGAAGCAGGTGGCGAGGCGGATGCTGGTCTGTGCTCTGGCAAAAAATAAGGCAGGATGGGCAGGGAGGGAATTCAGAAGAAAATTGCGATTTTAGGTAAGGGGTCAGGGCCGGTCTGGAGGAGGAGGCCTGAGTAAGGGGCAGAGCCTGGGAGGGGCAGGGGGCAGAGGAAACCTGCCTCCGGGGTGGAGGACGGTGACCAGGGTGTGTGGTGGTGGAGGTGAGAGGGGCCGAGGCCCCAGGATTCAAAGCATCCCTACGGAGCACTTGATCGAAGGCGCCACTGCATTTGAAACATCATCCATGGGAATTCCACGTGGAAATGATCGCCCTTTGGATGGGAACCATGGGAAGAGTGGGGAAGGTGGTGAGAGACACAAGTTCCGCGGCCTCGGTGCTGGTGCCCCCCGATCCTATTCCATGGTTGAGGAGGAGGGGGGACAGCTCTGCGGGCTGACAGTGGCGGGACCCAGAGCGTAGAGGTCAGACTCCAGGCCTCCTGGGGCGGGGGCCCCAGGTGTCCGTCTTCAGGCCACTTCTGCACTCCCGAGGCTGGAGGCAAAACACACAAGCTGAGACCAATCTAGACTAGCCAGGCAGCCAGTCCAGCCCCGGACGGGAGCCCCTCACCCCTGCCGGCATCACGAGGGAAGCCAGACCCTCTGCTTCGTGAGCTGTCTGGCGCGGTTGGTCCCCTGAGCCGTGGTGAACGGAGGAGTCCCCCGGCGGCCACTGGTGTGACTGTCCCCCCCCCTTCCCTCGGCTTCGGAATTCAGAGTGACGGGCCATCTGGAGAGAGCTCGTTCACTTCTGCAGCGCGTGCTTCTAAGGTCCTCTGAAGTTCCAGGCCCTGGGGGCCTTGCCGCCCAGAGAGGGCACCCAGAGGCCAGCTCATGAGTGACGAGTGTGAAGAAAGACAGGTGAATCGGGCTGTCTCCCAGGAGGAAGAGCCTAAGCCGGCAGTCAGGGGAGGCCTCCTGGGGGTGGTGACATTCCTGGGACCCAAGGAGGGATGGAAGTTGGGTGGGTGAAGTGGGGAGGGCGGGAGGGAGGAGGGGACGGAAGGCTGGCCATGGCTGCCCCTGCAGGCCGAGGCCTGGGAGGTGAACAGCTGACCTGTGCTCTTTATCCCAGGCCCTGGGGACCCACCCAGGCTTTCATCGGGGGAGCAACGTGGGAGGTTTTTAGAGTAGCTCTGGTCCCCGCTCTGGTGTGGAGAGCGGGTGGGAAGGGAGTGGGCGGGCTGTGCTTCTGTGGAGAGGTCGTTTTACTCTCCTTTTGGACATTCTGGTCCAATGGATGCTTCTAAGTGCTAGAATGCTCAGCGTGACGGGTGGCGTGTGTGCTGATACGCGTGTGCCTCCCGTCTGACAGCTGCTTGTGAGCCGGCAGGTGCCCTTCTGTTCGCCTCATCCTGGCCTCTGTGGAGGGGCAGGCTGGGTTGGGGGACTGCTGGCTGTGGATTCCACGTACAGCTGGCTGTCATGTGAGCAATCGACAGTCTGTCCCTGTCACTGGCCTGCACCCCGGGCCGAGGCGGGGTCCCAGCCGGCCCTGCCTGGGAAGAGCCAACCCCTTAGGAACACCACCAGCGACCAGAGGCTTCTGCCACCTGCGTCGGGCATCTTGGCACGAGCAAGGCTAGTTCTGGGATGGCCCGTGCCTCGCCCCACAAGGGCACAAGGACAGGCGCTCACGGGAGATTCTGTTAAGGAAGCCATGGATGGGGCACCTCCTGTTCAGTGACGTAAGTCACCGGGATGCAAAACTCTGGGTTCGTTTACAAGGAAACCTGGAGAGCCTGGCACCACCTGGGAGGCCTGACAGAATCTGTGGCTGAGACTCTGTTTTGCTCCCAGTGCCCGGGGCGCAGTTAGTTTAGGTCGGAACCCAGAGCCTTTCAGGTGACAAGATCAGAACTGCGATCTGGGTCGTGGTGTTGGGTGGAGGCTGGGCGTGAGATGACGTGCCAGCTGGACTCACCCGCAAATGCCAGGGAGTCACCCGGGTGGGTCACGGTGTCTCTGCTGGTGAAAGCCCATCATTTGAAGAAAGCAGATGTTTCATTAATTTTTGTAGGCAAATATTTATTTGAAGCCGAAAGATATTGTCATCTAATGAAAGCAGCGAGACCAGAGTGTATCGTTAAAAAGCGTCGTAATCACCTCATTATCATAAAAGGTTTTATTAAAGTCACTTCAAAACGGGAGGCTCTAGAAAGCAGTTTTGATTCTGGCAGTGAATGAAAGATGGTGAGAGGAAATGTATCAGGTGGCCTTTAGCAATACAGATCCATCTTGGGCTTTATCGTTAGAAACCAGAAAAAAAAAAAAAAAAAAAATTCCGGAAAAAGCATGGAGAAATGGTGGATGGTGGAGATATAGGAGCCGTGATCAATCCATTACTTCCATGTGCTGTAGGTAAACTGCACTTACCGGCTGTTATATATTGGCTTTAGAAAAAAACAAACGCAGTGCATTTGTTTTCCTTGGTTTGGAAAACGCAAAACCACAGAGAAAGAAAGAGTCTAAATTCTATTAGATGAGAAGCAAATGACTCTCGGATACATGATTTATATATTAAATTGCAAGTTTGTTCGTTTGCAGCGCCTGTTGAAAATTTAATGGCTAATATCCTTAACTGTAGCAAAAGTAAATTATGTAGGAAAGGGTTGACTTCCTTCTCTTTTCTTGTAATAATGATTCCCCCCACCCCTGCTGAGAGAGAGGGAGAGAGGGTGGAGAGAGAGATGAAGGGGGGAGGAGGGAGGGCTAGTTGCTTTGAGGGAAGGAAACCAGATAAGCATGGTTAACATCCATCAGGCAGCAGGAAGAAAATTGGATTTCAGCAGGCCTTGTACAGAAATATAAAGCTGTGTGTATTGGATGTGCAGTCGATCCTGTCACCCTGAAAAGTCTTCCTTTAAAACAAAGATAAGGAGGATGGTCTTTCCTAGCTCTGACTTCGCGGGGTCTCTCCATCACCCAGGAGGGGGGCCACCGCCCAGACAGTGACAGGTGTGTCAAGTGACTGACCAACACCCTTTTTCTCTGATTCCAGGGCACACCTGGGAAGCCGGGGCCACGGGGGCAGCGAGGCCCAACGGTAACCCTGGGCGTGAGGGCCATCTTCCAGATTGGGAGCGGGTTGTAGGAGCATGCCCAGTAGCGGGGGGCGGTGGCGGGGAGGAGGCGTCAGGGATGCCGAGGACTAGAGCTGACCTGTCTTGTTTCCTGTTTGTCCAGGGTCCACGGGGTGAAAGAGGCCCCCGAGGCATCACTGGGAAGCCTGGCCCCAAGGTATGTGTTCAGTATCCTCTGTGGCCCCGGGATGGACCAAAGTGTTTTTTGTGTTTTTTTGTTTTTTGGGGTTTTTTTGCGGTATGCGGGCCTGTCACTGTCGTGGCCTCTCCCGTTGCGGAGCACAGGCTCCGGACGCGCAGGCTCGGCGGCCACGGCTCACGGGCCCAGCCGCTCCGCGGCACGTGGGATCTTCCCGGACCGGGGCACGAACCCGTGTCCCCTGCATCGGCAGGTGGACTCTCAACCCCTGCGCCACCAGGGAAGCCCTGGACCAAAGTTTCTGATGCACCAAAATGTCAAGCACTTGAGGGTGCCCCATGGCCTTTCTCACTTTAGAAAATAAAAGAAAGAGAGAAGTTTACTTGGGGGTGTTTAAGACGGAGCTCGTCTCCACCAGCCCTTGGATGAGTTAGGTCAGGTTGAGTCACGTGGCAGAGGCTGCCCGGGGCCATCCCCCCGTGGAACTTTCCAGCCAGAAGCCCCGCAGCTCCAGGAGGGCAGCTCCAGCCAGGCTTTGGACAGATTCCCCCTCTACCCCGCCCCGCCCGAGTTCTGATGTGGAGGTCTCATTTCTTTTCTTGAGAAGGGGTTTGGAAGCTGCAGAGACACCTTTGCTGGGATCTTCCTGCCCCGGTGAAAGATCCTCTGGATCCCCTCTTCCTGCCCTGGGGCCTTGAAGCCAATTCCGCCCGCCC